TTGTAGTTCGCTATTTGTTTGGGAACTATTCACTAAAAGGTCAGTTAATTTTTCTTAAATAAATATCTCATTGCTAAGAATTAAATAGAGCCAACAAAAATATTTCAGAGATCATAACTGCTAATGGCTTCAAAAAAAAAGAATAGGAACAAGGGAGATGTTGCAAGTCTTCCACAAAATGAATTGACTTCATGCAATCTCAAAGGATAAGCTGTGAATAAAACAAAGGGAAGTTTCTAAGTACAATTCAGGAGTAAACCAGGGGAAATCAATATTTTTTATTATGTGTATATTTTCAGATATTGGTCGTTATTTTTGACCTCCCATGTTTCCCATTAACAGTAGTTCCTTTTGCAGATAATCCATATAAACCAATTTGAAGAGCTAAGGGATTCCTCAAAGTGGAAAAAAAATACACGAGAATTGTTTGAGAATTGTTTTGATGTAACATCCTCATACAGTCATACTCCTATTCATATCACCTTTTCAATAGCACTCATGGCAAACACCTGAAAAATGAATGACAAAGAAATATAGCAATTTTTTTTTTTTCCAAACGGAAGTATATAATTTTTTTTCTCTGAAAACTGACCAAAAAAGGCAAATAAGAAATAAAGACAATGATAGTTAAGCAGGTAGAAGAGCATGAAAGTTAAACACGCTACTGCAATAGAAGAATCCAAATACTGAAGGAAATTTGCAAAATGTGAAATTAACCTGCTAACAACAAAGTAAACAGAATCAGGCTTTGCCTGAATGGCAGTTTTTGTAAATCCGAGCTTATCAGCAGGCCAGAGTTCATCGCCAAAGAAGCTGCTGGTGTAGAGCACCTGGTCCCCAACTTTGAGTCCTGCTTTTGCAGCATTTCCACCATTTTCCACACCCTGTGTCAAAGACAAGACACGGCAAAACCATATGTGACTTTCAAATAGAGCGTGGCACCAACACATGGGGGCATGCATTCTGAAAGTAGACATGTTAAATTTTTATTTCAATACTTCATCAGTTTTCAAAAAAATCACACTCTATTTAGCTCTCATTTTGAATTTTCAAGGTCAAATCTTTCAACTTTATATTGAATGAATATAGCCCCTGCCGGCCTGCCCCATTATCTAAAAACTCCTTTTCAACAACACTTTGCATATAAATCCAAAAATTTTTCTTACTTTTAACCACATATTCTCCAGAAATTCACTATTATAAAACTTATTTTCAACAAAAAATGGGGCTCAAACACAGGCTTAGTATTTTCCAACCTCGAATCAAAAAGTTCTCATTACAAGTGATTATTATCACACTCAAAATCATGAACAAATGTGTATCTAAAAGTAGAAATAGAATTAGAAACTCACAGTGATTACAACTCCACCACCCGATTTTTGCCCCAAAGTCACTCCCAACGGCTTGTCAACTTCAACCTCAATGTTCTTTGCAGCAGCAGTTCTGGCTGTAATCTCAAGCCCCCTTTTCCTCACATTTCCACCACTGCTCTTGCTCTCATAAACCAAAGAATTGAACATATCCCTTTTCGCATCTTGAATTGAAAGCCCATGGAAATTGGTTTTCTGATTTCGTTCAAGAATGAAGACTTTCACAAAACACGTATAATTTTCTTAGATCAATACAAACAAATTAATAGCATGAAACCCAGCAAAACCATACCTGATATTGAGGAACCAGTGAGTTTGAATTCGATTTGGCAGATGGGTTTCTGGTGAAGGCAGCAGAGCAGGAAGAGGAGGCACCTGCAACAATGGCTGCTGACATTTTTTTGGCTCACAATTTTTAGTGAAGAATGGGAATGTACTTAATGGGAGTGTGTATCAGCAGTACTAGATAATTTTGAATGGAATTATGTGGTTGGGAGTAAAACATTGGATAATCTTGTAGTGGAGAGGGGGTGGAGTTATCGGGAGAGCCACACGCCTTGTTGAATCATGAATTGGTAATAGACCACAAAAAACATAACCTACGAAACATATTTCCTGTCCTCAAATTATGTGGTTCGAATCTTCTCTTTCTGATTCTATTGATGACTTGATTTTCGAATTGTAGTTTCTATGTAGGAAATAGATAAAATCTTAAGAAAATTTGAAAATTAACAAGAACACTCTTTATGGATCGAAAAGTAATGAAAAATTTTAGATTTTTGTGTAATATTATTTTAATTGAAGAATGTGTAGTTATAATTAAGAATGAGAAAAATTTAAGAAAAATTAATGAGTGCCAAACATCTTCTTACAAAATAAATTAATGGAGACACTATATAGTCATTAGCACAAATCATTTGACTTCCAAAATCGTAACAGCCCGCCAGTCTTAAATTCAAGGCAACCAAATTTTTTTTAGGGATCCGTTTAATTGTAATGGTGGAAAATGGGTAAAAAGAAAATGAATTTTAGAGAAAATAATTGATTAGAAATTGTTCTGCAGAGAATTGTTAATTAAATGTATTTGATTAGTATAATTTTTCACCAGGAAAATTTGTAAATTTTATATTCGTTTGGCTTTATTTTATATGAAAATTATCTATTAAAGTGATATTTTTTTCAACAATTGGTTATAAAATTTCTTTCCATTACCAAAAAGTAAAAAAAAAACAAAAAAAAATTCCTAAAAAATTATTTTTTTATCAAAATTTAGTGTTCGTTTGACTTTATTTTATGTGGAAATCGTTAATTAAAGTGAATTTTTTTTTACAATTGATTATGAAATTTGTTTTCATTACAAAAAAGACAAAAAGAAATGTGGAATTGCATTTTGCCACCAAAATGGTGAGAAAATGCTTTCCCTCAAATCAAGGCAAAAGGCCACGTGGAGGAAGGGGGGGGGGTGGGGTTGGGAAAATATTACCTATCAAACAAGTTAAAAGCAAAAAAGTCAAAAAAAATTTCCAACTTCCACGAAAAAAATGGTTTATCAAACGGGGCCTAATAGAAGGATCACAACAAGCCAGTTGAGGTCGCATGCACTGTATTCTTTCACATAAATTGGTGTGGGATAAAACAAAGTGACACATGCTGACTCAGATCACGTGCATAGCGGGACCCACTGAAATGAAATAAAATTAAACGCCGTTAGGAGATCCGCCGAATATTCGTGCATAAAATGGTTTGACACATATACAAACGAAAATTGGCATAGGGGATATTCGATTTTTGCATGAGTTATCCATTGGAGTCCTCAATTAATTTTCGTAATACAAAATGAAAATAAAGATCTTCTAGTCAAGTATCTTTTGAAATATCTTTTCATTAATAGACATTCTATCATTATATTATTTTCACTAACAACATTCAAAATGCTCTGAATATTCATCACATATTTGTAGCATTAGTCGTCACATAATCTATCGATAAATTTGTTAAGATTTGGGGGTCCATCTTAAAAGGTCAACCTTATTAAGAGGAGTAGCTCAAGATCTTTATTAATTGGTCTGTGTCAACATCTTTATTCGATGTGTGGTTATATCCCTTAACACGCCCCCACAAGATGGTGGCTCATTTGAGCAGACCAATCTTGAAATCCACGTGCTCACTTTTTTGGAGTCTTACCGGGATTGAATCGCTCGTTGGAGCATAATGGGCTCTTATACCATGTTAAGATTTGGGGGTCCATCTTAAAAGGTCAACCTTATTAAGAGGAGTAGCCCCTGATCTTTATTAATTGGTCTGTGTTTACATCATTATTCGATGTGGGATTTATATCCCTTAACATGATCTTTATTAATTGGTCTGTGTTTACATCATTATTCGATGTGGGATTTATATCCCTTAACACGCCCCCGCAAGATGGTGGCTCGTTTGAGCAGATCAATCTTGAAATCCACGAGCTCATTTTTTGGAGTCTTATCGGGATGGAATCGCTCGTTGGAGCATAATGGGCTCTGATACCATGTTAAGATTTGGGGGTCTATCTTAAAAAGTCAACCTTATTAAAAGGAGTAGCCCAAGATCTTTATTAATTGGTCTGTGTCAACATCTTTATTCGATGTGGGATTATATCCCTTAACAAAATTAATAAGTCGACAAATTAATTATCCCATCAAAGTAATAACTTTCTCAATTCTAATATTATCATTTTATTGAGATTTTACTGTATTATCAACAGATCATCACAAAATGAGTACTAGTGAAGTAGGACACCCAAATGTTCACTTATCCAAAAATTGAGGACACAAGTACTAAATTTCGTCATAAAATTCAATACATAACCTCAAGTTTTACTATTTTCGTCAAATGTCAGCCCAAACATTTGACGGTCCGTAGTTGAGGATCCCTGAAATCCAAAAAATAAAAACACAAAGTCAAAGTCAAACATCTCCATCTCTATAAAATGAGGGTTCCTTTCAGTCATCTTTCAGATATAACCAGTGAATACCTAAAATCTCAAAAGAAGGAAAAATTCAGTGATTTATGGCAGCCAATTTGCTGAGGTTGGGACTGGCAAAGCGATTTCTTCCTTCGCTGTCTCTCAGGTATAACCATTTTTCGACTGATCAATCTTAATTTTTGTTAAAATATTTGCATGCCTGCATGATAAATACTAATTTTTGTTAAAATATTTGCATTTTTTGAGGTTTAAAGCTTTATTTTAACATTTCTGTGATTTTGTATGTGAAATGCGATGATCTCATCTACAGAACACAAAATCTTGAATTTGCTTGAAATGTTTCTGTGACCTTTGGTAGGTCAGAGTCCTTCGAAAGAATATGATGGCCATGCTTGAGCAGCATTTTTTAAGGGAAAATAGGCTTTTAAATAGTGATTTATTTATTTATTTATGGAGAATGTGGGACTAAAAAGTAGAGAAAATCGTGTGAATTTATGTGCAAAATTATTTTATTGGAAAGATACGACTGAAAATGAATTTTAGAAAAAAATAAATTTTGGGAAAATCTGAATATTATATTATTTTTATTTAGAGGGTGTTTGGTAGATATTAAAATCGGATTAAAATTGAAAAACGAGCCGTTATTGTTGATTTTTATTAGATGAGTGGACCCGATAACGACTATATTTTCAATTTTAATTGGATTTAACTCCACTTTTGCTTTTGCCCAAGATAATTTTTGGAAGTGGGCAGAGGCACTAGTCACCGTCAGAAGAGGCGGCGTCCAAGTAATTTTTAAAATGTTTGTTGATGATTATTATTTTATTATTGGGTTTGTCCTAATTCATATTATTCCCAATGTCGAGTTTTCTATTATTTTTTGAATCCATCGATTATGTTACAACTTTAAATTAATCGATGATATTGTTGCTTTACCCTAACCATCAGGTGAGGACATTATGTCATTCTCGTTGTTAATGAGACAATTTTTTTGGTTAGAAGTAAGTCGTTATGTGTTATTATTGAACACGTGACAACAAACACCTACCTCATATATAAGTGCCCACAAACACCTACCTCATATATAAGTGCCCACAAACACCTACCTCATATATAAGTGCCCGCCATTAAAGCCTCTTCTTTAGGTTTTCATATTTTAATTAATAAAGACTTCTATTTAGGTACCAATACCATAATCCTATCTATGATTAAATCCAAATTTATTTAATCTATGATATGATGAAATAATCCATTATTCAGGAGGGGTGTGCATGTGTCGGTCTACGACAAGAACCCAGAGGAGCATGTCCACTCAACCGTGGTGCCCGACTATTTAATCCTACCTCAATCTGACAAATATTGGGCTCCTCACCCTCAGACCGGGGTTTTTTGCCCTGCAACGGATCACAACTCGACTGCAGGTGGGGAACGTGGTTTTCACTCCTCGTCCACGAGTGCTAGTGGCGATTCAGTGTTGGAGCAGAAGGCCTTTTTTCGCCCTCTCGAGGATTTGGAGAAGCCAACCCATTCTTGAATTGCAGGGGAAAAGTAGAAAAATGCCTTGTTTATTTATTAGTATGGTGAATGGGTGGTTTGTCCTAGTCGTTATCTGTTTATGCGTGGGTCATGTTTAGTGAATACTGCTTTAATCTTCATATTTATGTAAGATTGGGAGATCTTGCTTGTAATGCTTTGCTATCTGGTGTACTCGAGTTTCACGTATTGTCCTCTTCATTTATTTAGCAGATCGTGCTATACATGTACCGAATTTTTTTATCGAATCTTTTACGTACTACTCACAATGCGAGTGAGGGCCATATTGTCGGAATTCTTAAATATACGCGGGCCTCGCGCATTATGTGAGGGGATAATCCATTATGTACAAATGGATTAACCCTTATTTAGCCGTGCATGAACTTAGTTCTTGTTTGAGCCATATTTTATCAAAATTCATTTTTTCAAAATTTATTTTCAACTATTCAAAAATGTACTTTTTCTCTCAAAATGGGACTCAAAGAAAGGCTTAATGACTAAAAAAAAAAATGATTCGGTCGGCAGGCCCAAGCCTTACCGGCTAAGACTCATCCATAGCAAGCTTGTACTAAGCTGATCGAGGATCTTCAGCTCCTTAAAAGTATTTTTAAGAGACCTGAAAATGCAAAATACTCTTTATTGTATAGAGAATACTTAAAAAGTGAACTCAATGGACTCTCTATTTTAACTTTTTAATATAGAGGTGGGTTCGACTCTCCAAATTTAGAGAGTCAAACTCACTCTTTATTTTTAATGTACAATGATTGCATTTAATAAATTACATATTTCAATATTCTACTTCTTAAACTATTCAAGCCATATTTAAATTGATTGGAGAATTAACATATAAAAAATTATGTTAAATAAAATATGTAGAGAAATGAATAAATGTTTTTTGTGGAAAGCAAAATGAAAAGCCAAAATAGAGAGCTTGTTTTCATTGTATAAAAAAATCGACTCTCTACATTTAAAGATATTATATATAATACATAAGATATTCTTTATAAATAAAAAGTCTCTTAAGCTAGGTTATACCAGGCCTAACTCTGGAGTGCCTCGGTCCATTGCACGGCCAACATCCCTTTAGCTATTTTATGTACTGTATAGTTTGAAAGAGCATAGGCTATCCAGGTTGTGCCATTAGTCAATGCGTAACTGTAATTTATTCAATCTATCTTTCACAAACATGCATCATTTTAATGCTACAATATTACAACATTCAGCAAATCATCTATCAATGAAAGAGATTCGGCTTCAAACCATTTTATTCACACAATGTTTCTGCTAAAGCATACTTGAACGGTACTCCAACTTGTGTGTTTATTTTATGTCATTTGAAATCAGTACTTCCTATGAAGAACCATTTTGCTTGCTTTCTTTCTTATGAATTCAAGAAGATGTTTTTATATGAACTGGCATTTTTCAGTTTCGTGACTTGCAATTGTCATGGCTAGATTTTCTTATATTTTTAATGCTATTGATTCACTGTACGCTCTTACATTGTTCAAGTGTATGATCTGAACAATTCTAATACATTATGTTAGACTATATTCTTGGTACATCGTATACCTTTCACTAACATAAATGCAAAACATGATGGATTCACAAATAAACAACCCGAACATATTTTTATGATCAAGGACGATACACCAAAGTCGAAGTCAGGAAAACCAAATTTAAGGACATGTAGACATCAAATTTTAGCTAGCAACAAACTTGGCATCATTTAAGAATAAGCAAGTGTACATGACTTATATCTTAAGTATCGAGGTGACATGACACATTACAATATGTGTAGAGATAATGATTGATTACATCACCTATTGTACTGTCTCACCATATATTTATAGTCTTTGTGCATCTAACTACTAATGCATGTCAGCATGGTACCCCCCATCAAATTGGAAAACGCTGCATTACATGTCAACCATTGTATATGGACCAAGTTTTTAGTGTTGTGACTATTCACTAACTTCAAACAGGAGACAAAATTTAAATTGTTAATCATAAATAATAATTTAAAGATACAAACTCAATAGCTGTCGTTCAATAACCTAAAATTCTAATAACAACATAACCTTATTTGTTACGAAAAAAACTTGCATATGATCCTTAGCTACATAAGAAAAAAATTTCATAATCACCAAGACGAATAATAGAGACTTACCGGTTACTATCATTGCGGATTTTGATTTTTCTATATTAAACTTCTAATTTCAATTGTAGGTAACAGTTACATAAACCTAATTTCGTTTCATTCAAAATTAACATTGAGAAAATGTCAATACGCTAAATTCGTAACAGAGAGAGAGAGAGAGAGCATGGTTCCTCCTATCAACACCTTGAAGGAATAATAAAGTCGTGGGCCGTAAACAGTATTGGACCATAAAAAATGGGCCCAAATAAATGTCAATTGTAAACCTAAACCGACTATCTAACAAATAAAAAAATAAATAATAAATAAAAATCTGCACGACAAGTACAAATGCTAAGTGGCACTTTTGTTTATCTCCTTCACGTTGTCTCTCCTCCTCTCTCCGTCCGCCGCCGCCGAGGTCATCACCGCCAATAGATTCTATATTCATAATCTACAGGTATCATTATTTTCGTTTTCTATTTTCTTTAGTTAATTTCTGTAAGATTTATGCATAATTATGTATTTAATTGAGTATGGTTTCTATCATATATTTTTGACGAAGCGGTGGTCAATTTTATAATTAATTTGGTCTCTTTTATTTATTCTTTTTGTAATTTTTTTATTTTTATTTTTGATGCTTGATTGATTCCTTTTAGCTGAAATGAGTTGTCTGGTTTTCATCCTGGTTACATAAGTAAAGATCTGATATGGCCTTTTTACACACTTGTTTCTATTAACGCTTAACTCGTTGTTGCCGTGTCGTGTTATTTTTTAATCATATGTTATACATGACGATTGGTTAAGATGATGGAGCTGATATCTTCGGAAGTTCGATTTTCTTGCTTTTTAAATTTGTTTGTTCCCATTTGAAACCCAATTATCGGGAACAATCTTGAGCCTCTTATCAAATTCAATGAAATGAAAATGGTAAATTGTCACAATTTTTTCAGTCGAGACTCGAGACTTTACTGTTTTGAGTTAAGATTACTGTAATCTTGTCCTACTTTGGAATTTTTTAATTTCTGTATTGAGTTCTAAGCTGATTTATTCGTCAATACTTTTTTTTCCTAGTGTGCTTTAATCATAAGTCATGGCACAAGAAGCAGGAATGTTTACGGTGCCCCAGACTATAGGCAGTGTCCTATGCTGCAAATGCGGTATGTTGATGCAACCAAATGCTGCAAATATGTGTGCCAAGTGCTTGCGTTCTGAAGTTGACATTACAGAAGGCCTACAGAAGCACGTGGTAATTATCCATTGTCCTGAATGTGAGAGCTATTTGCAGCCGCCAAGGACCTGGATGAAAATGCAGCTGGAGTCTAAGGAGCTGCTGACCTTTTGCATAAAGAGGTTGAAGAACTTGAATAAAGTCCATTTAGTACATGCAGAATTCATTTGGACTGAACCTCACTCCAAGAGAATTAAAGTTAGACTGAGGGTACAGAAAGAGGTTCTGAATGGGGCAGTACTTGAACAAGCTTACACCGTTGAATATGTTGTGCAAGACCAGATGTGCGAGTCTTGTACAAGGGTTCAGGCCAATCCTGATCAATGGGTGGCTGCAGTTCAACTGCGGCAGCATGTTTCTCACAGGCGCACTTTCTTCTATTTGGAGCAGCTTATTATTAAGCACGATGAAGCTCGCAATGCAATAAGAATAAAGCAGATGGACCAGGGAATTGATTTCTTTTTAGAAGCTCGCAATGCAATAAGAATTAAGCAGATGGACCAGGGAATTGATTTCTTTTTCGTTAATCGGAGTCATGCTGGGAAGTTTGTGGACTTCGTGGGCGAGGTATCTCCGATTAGGAAACGAAATGACAAGCAACTTGTGTCCCATGATCCGAAGAGCAACAATTACAATTACAAGTACACTTTCTCAGTTGAGATATGTCCAGTATGTCGTGAGGATTTGATATGTCTTCCTCCTAAAGTTGCTGCAACTCAGGGAAATCTTGGACCCCTTGTGATCTGCACCAAAGTGACTAACAGCATTGCTTTATTAGACCCATTTACTCTTAGGCACTGCTTCTTGAATGCCGAGCAGTATTGGAGGGCACCTTTTAAGGCTCTACTTTCAAGTAGGCAGCTTGTTGAATATATAGTGTTGGACATTGAGACTATTTCTTCTGAAGTCGTTGGTGGCTCAAAGTATGCTGTAGCTGATGCCCAAATCGCCCGTGTATCAGATTTTGGAAAGAATGATATTCTATTCAACGTGAGGACACATCTCGGCCATCTCTTAAACCCCGGTGATTATGCCTTTGGTTATGACCTATATGGTGCGAACAGTAACGATATTGAACTAGACAGGTACAAGGGTCTTGTTCTCCCAGAGGTGATATTAATTAAAAAGAGCTATGAAGAGAAGCGCCAAAGGAAGCGAAACAAACCCCGTACATGGAAACTAAAATCTCTTAACATGGAAATTGACAATTCTACTAGGGGTAGAGATCATGAGGAGAAGATGAACGCAGAGTATGAACAGTTCAAAAGAGACTTGGAGGAAAACCCTGAATTGAGGTTCAATATTTCCCTTTACCGAAACAAAGAGTACCAGCCTTCAGAAATGGCGTCTGAGACTGATGGAGAGGATATTCCTTCTATTCAAATAGAAGAATTGCTTGATAATCTTGACTTAAGTGACGAGGAAATGGAGGGTGGTATCCTGAAGGATTGATTCCAATGAATTCTTTAGCATTAGCATAGATTTTGTTTTTGAAGCAAGAATGCAACATGTAGGAGTGTGTGGAAATGTCTAATTTACGAAATAGGCTGGATTTGTGTAATGTTTCCTTTCAATGGCTGGATAGTTACGGAGCAGCTGCTCAGCCATGAATTCAATTCTTTTCTGTTTTGTTTGGTGAAATTTTCAAATTTGTGATGCATAATCGTGTCCCTTTTGCTTTCGACATCTGTATTTTAGGAACTAGTTTGCTATTTTCAGTGAGTGTGAGCGGTGAAGCAATTAGTATTGCATATTAATTGTAATTTAATGTTTCCAGCATTCGTATGGATTTTTAATATTTTTCTTACACACTTTTTGGCACAGTTTAAGAGCCAAGTCATGTTTGCTTTTAAGTGAAAATACCAAATTAAGGGCTTGTTCTCTTTGTCATTTTCAACCAGTTTTCTGTCTTCGATTTTTCAAAACAGTGAAAACGCGTTTTCTATTCCATTTTCGAAAACGCGTTTCTGAAAACGGGTTGAAAATTTACAAAGAAAACACAAAACGACAATTGGGTGTTTTCAGTTATAACTTGACAAAAATTTCCAAAACGGGTTTTCTTTGTTTTCAACCACATCAAACCATCACCGCACTAGACCACCATTGCACCGCCGGAACCCACTACCGCAACCCAACCACCGAAATCGCCACCAGAAACCTCCAACGCCATAGCCAAAACGGAGACCCAACCATCGAAAATCTTGACCAGAAAGACCACCACTGTGTAGCCAAAATGACGACCAACTACCTCAAAATCACCACCAAAATCGCAACCCAACCACTGTCGATTCGCGACTAGAAAGACCACCGCCGCCCAGCCGAAATGGCGACCCAACCACAGCAAAATTGCCACTAGAATGGCAACCCAACCATCGCCAACTTCGCCACCAGAAAGACCACCACTACCCAGCAAAAATGGCGACCCAACCACCCCAAAATCGCCACCAGAATCGCGACCCAACCATATCCAAAATCGATTTGCCATTACCCCCACCTACCCAGCAAAAATGGCGACCAAACCACCGCAAAATCGTCACCAGAATCGCGACCCAACCATGGCCAAAATCGATTTGCCATTATCCCCACCGCCCATGCCAAAAGTTGCAACCCAACTACCACAACCGTAGCTTCACGACCCAACCACCGCATCCAACCACAACACTCAAACCAACAACCATTAGTGAAGAAGGAGGGGAAGGAGAAGAAGAGGGCGAGGGAGAGGAGGAGGAAGGGAAGAGAAGAGAATATGTTTCCATTTCCTAATTTTTGAAAACAATTTTTCAAAATGGTAAAAAGAACGGATTTTCAAAAATCTCAAAATTGACACTCAAAACACAAAACACAAAATGAATTCAAAACATAAAACACAAAACTCAAACACAAAGAGAACAACCCCTAAGATTTTCTTTTGCTTATTTGGACCATTTGAGAATTTGGTCGAAGTATCATTTGAGAATTGTAGAAATAGAACCATTTGTTATGTGGAAAAAGGAAACAAATCGGTTGTAGTCCATTTTTTAATGTTTCAAAAATATATTTTAAAGTCTTATGCTCTGTAATTTTTCATATTTCACTTTCACGAATTATATTTTAAACAACAAAACTTTCAATTATATCGAATACATAATGAATTTATATGCATTAAGATTGAGAAACTTAGGTTATCAACTCTATGATTTAAGACTGAATCAAGGCTAGTGCGATTCGGATCGAGTCATGTGGTTCCGAGTAAAAATGGCTTGCCGCTACTCAATAAAATTGAAAGGGAAAAGTTTATGGCTCAATGTTTAGTTCGTTATTTTAAAAAATCTGGTTCTATACTTTAAAATTGTAAAAATCAGGTTTCTACTTTTTATTAATTAATTAAATATTTAATTGTGTAATCTAATAGCGTATATCTTATTAATTAGTTAAAAATTAATTTCAGGTCACAGCTTATCAAATTAATTGGTCTCGGATTATTTCGAGGTCACAGATGAAAAAATTTATAGGTCACAGTTAACTTCGTTGGTCACAAATCAAGAATTTTAAGGTCACAAGTAATTTTTCATAGGTTACAGATTTAAAAAATTCAAAACTTTTACGGGTCACAGCTCTATTTCAGCGAGTCACACTCCCAATTTCTAGGTCACAGACACCACCACAGGTCATAGTCACAATTCCTAGGTCACAGACACCACCACACAGGTCACAATTACAATTCCTAGGTCACAGACACCCACGACCGCCGCCACACCAACCACCACCAAAATACCACCCAATCTTGATCCACCACCATTTCATCTCCACAGAAGTCAGAACCGCCACCAAATCTCGATCCACCATCAAGCAGCCAAATTCACCACCTCACTTCCATAGCACGGCCACCAAATCAAGACGCACCCGATCCGCCATCGCCAATAAAACCATCACCACCAATTCTAGATCCACCATCAGCAGCCCAATCCGCCACCGCCAATAAAACCACTCAAACATCCCCACCCACCGCACACCCCACCACCACCGCACGCCTCAACACCCAACCACAGCACCCACCACCACCGCACGCACAATATCCTACCCACTGCACCCAACCACTGCCAGAGTCGCCAGAGCTGCCGGAGGTGATGGATATCGTGTATTGGTAGAAAGAGAGAGAATGGGGAGGTAGTGGGTTTGGAGAGAAAGTGGCGAGAGAAAGTGGTAGAGAGAATGTTGGGAGGAAATTGATTAGATTAAGAATTAGGGTTTTATACTATCTGATTTTTGCAAAAATAAACTAAAACCATAATTTTTAAAAAGGTCAAACTAAACCCCTGGTATTATATAATTTTCCATTGTTGAATTTTGTGAGGCCAATATATCTAATGAGGTTACGAATTAGGTTTTAATATACTACCTAATTTTACAAAAATAAACTTAAAACTTGACTTTTAAAAAAGACAAACTAAACCCCTGATTTTATATAATTTTCCCAAATTGAAAATGGGCCCCCATTGGAACAACCCGAAGTTCGGGCAGTACCCATTGGGCTTTCTAAACCCGCCAACACAAACCTATCCAAAAAATTTACCTTCACACATATTAGTATTTTCACTTTCAAGAGTGCCAGTAGGGCTCCCTACATTGTTTCTGCTCAGCTGCGTCGCCATAGCCCTAAGTCTTAACCCTAAGATCTCTGTATCTCTTATCCATCCATGTAATCCATTTACTGTATTCATTTGAATTAAATTCATTCGAATCATTTCTTATGCTCGACGTGTTATATGTACAGCTAGGTTAAGATTTTTCTTATTGAGATGGCTATGCTAATTCTTTTATTTTTAGTGAGGAAATGTAGGAATATTAAATGAAGTTATGTATTTGATTTTTAAATATTAGGCCTGTTTAGGGATTGAAATGTGTTTATTTTGTATTTTTAGATATATGATTTTCTCGGTGATTAATGTATTAGTTCTTGTTATTGAGTTACATGATTTTAACATATGATTAGTATATTGTAGTTATTTAATCTGTGTCTCTTATGTAGCTTTAGTTAGTATTGCATATGTTGCTTATGCTTATCTATAGTGGATGCCTGTGGCTGAACTGATTGCCAATTAACTTGATTTTTAATTGTGGCGCTATTTTTACAATTTTAAAATTTAGATGTTGGGGTCGAAGTATGATTTTTTGGTTTCAGATAAGTTGATTGGATTTAAACTGTGTAATTTTTGTTTTGAAATTTATGTTGAAGGCTCTCGGATGTTGTCACTGATTTGGGGTGTGGAGGATATATCTAAATTGTTATTTGTAAACTTCTATATTTATGCATTAATTTATGATTTTACCTGTTTCTCAGCTTTGCATTAAAAGTTATTAATTGCTTGCTAGCATTCATTTATTGTTTGATCTGTCTTCATTAGGCACTTCCTCTCTCTGTAGTGCAGGTAAGTCATGGTTAAGCACAACAACGTTATCCCAAATGGGCACTTCAGGAAGCACTGGCAGAACTATGTTAAGACATGGTTCAACCAGCCTGCTCGCAAGACCAGGAGAAGAATCGGTAAGCATCCAATTTCATGATATCAACCTTTATGTTTTAATTAACTCAATGCATCACAACTTGTATACTTATAATTCTTTTTGTATCATTTGCTCTGTCTTGTTATCTGTTCCAAATATTGTAACTATATGTTGACTCGTGTTTGATATATCTTGCTTCCAGCTAGGCAGAAGAAAGCTGTGAAGATTTTCCCTCGTCCTACTGTGGGACCCCTTCGTCCCATTGTCCACGGGCAGACACTGAAGTATAACATGAAAGTCAGAGCCGGTAGGGGATTTTCACTGGAAGAGCTCAAGGTAATTCATTCCCTATAATGACTTTGACTGCATTTGTTATTCCACTACATATCTGGCTGTCTGTTTCCTTGGTTTTTTGAAAGAATTTTATGTGCACACGAGAGTTCAAATCTATGTCTGAAGTGCACTGTATCGATGCTCATGCTACCTAGCACTCTGTTTAAACTTGATTTAATTTTTTATTCTGGTAAGCTTAGCAATGAGTTCCATGCTTCTAATAATAGCATCATGCCATCATCATTTGAAGTGCTTTTTTTATGTGCTAAAACTTAACCTTTGATGAGTTTAATGATCTATCTGGTCTGTGTATCAATCAGGCTGCAGGTATCCCTAAGAAATTTGCCCCAACTATTGGAATTGCAGTTGATCATCGTCGTAGGAACTCTTCCCTGGAAGGTTTTCAGACTAATGTTAATAGACTGAAGACTTACAAGGCCAAATTAGTCGTCTTCCCAAGACGGGCTCGTAAATCCAAGGTAATGTTAATTTTTAGTGGTAGAAAATCGCTATACAGCCCCTTTTTGAGCCACATTAAAATTCACATTCTCATTCTTCTACTCATTTTCAACCACACATTTTTCAATAAAATAATATTTTCTGTCACATCAATAACTTTTCAGTCTTTTTCAACCACACATTCTCCATCAATCTACTATTCCAAAATACATTCTTCCAAAATAATTTGACTCAAACACACCCACATTCTATGTTTCCTTTTTTCACGATTGCTGCTTCTCTTGCAGGCTGGTGATTCTACTTCAGAGGAGTTGGCAACAGCTACTCAAGTCCAAGGTTCTTACATGCCAATTGTATGGGAGAAGCCAACTGTGGAGCTTGTTAAGGTCACAGAAGAGATGAAGTCATTCAAGGCATATGATAAGCTGCGTTTAGAACGAACTAACAAGCGCCATGTTGGAGTCAGAGCCAAGAGGGCTGCTGAGGCTGAAAAGGAAGAGAAGAAATAGTGAGATTTTAGCAACTGTGATTTTTCATTCTATTTTGTTNACTGTGATTTTACATTCTAATTTGTTTATGGGGTGTGGGTTCTAGTTGAAATTCAATATTGTCTTTACATAATTTGGTGCACCTTTTCCCAAGTTTTTCCCAAGTATAGGATCTTTAATCGTGTCCCTTTTTGTATCATAGTTTCTCTAATTCGTGCAACAATCAGCTTGATGTTGGTTAGTGATTAATTTTTGACACTTCGATTGTCAATTAACACGTATCTTGTTAGATTTTACCATAGTAGAGAAGTCGTTTTGCATGAGTAGCACTGGGTTTGATACACCCGTGTCCAAGGCATCTAATTCTTTTTGCTTTGGACTATCTTATTGATGCGGTGATAAACTAAGTTCAGTTAAAAAGTTTCCCAGCAAGTAATTTGACAGATGTTTGTGTCTAAAATTATGTGCCAATTTCTAATGGAGTAACCTTATCCATTACACTACATTGTTCGGTGATGAACTGAGTCTCTTGATATGCTTTGGTTCTTGAAGTCGAGCCTGTGGTGGAGCTGTGGTTTACTAGTCTCATCTACCCACGCGTAGGGAGATTTCTAATCCAGATGAAGGAATAACTTTACAATCACGCTACATAAATATCAAGGTTGACATAAAGTTTGACATAATATACGTGACATTTTATCATTGGACCGTGTAAAAAATAGTTAAATTTTTCATCCAATTATTTAATGTTGAGTTATGCTACAAGTACAAAGTTGGGTTAAAAAGTTGGATGACAAAATAACATCCACACCAATAATTTTAAAAACAGATTTTTAAATCATTTGAAATCAACGGTCTGGATTTTACCAACACACTTTATAACCCAACTTTTGTAAATCAACTTTGTACAAATATTTTTATTGTTTGCCGTTATAGGCAATTATATCAACTCTTTTGTCAAATCTTTCTGACAAAGTAGCTTTATTCATAACTTTATCGATTACACTATATTGTTTGTTTATTTTAATTGAAGTCTAGGGAGTGAGTCACATCATATGCCTCGGGTCTTGAAGTCGAGCCCGTGGTGGAGCTATAGTTGATATCATCTAGCCAATGTGGAGGGAGATTTCTCATCCAAAGGAGTAACTTTGTCCCTTTCACAACGCCCTTGTCCTTGGGTGATGCTGCTGAAATAGTAGATTATTAGCATTTTAGCAACACCAAGAGCGATACCGGGAAAAAAGAGCAAAACCCAGCACGCATATTTTGTAGCCCATCTTGGGTCGTACTTCGATTTGTTCCACCATATAGAAAATCGCAATGCATCTTGCTCGGTAGGAGTAGCTTGAAGTCGTGAGTGTACAATTATGTTTTGGATGTTTCGTTACAGAATAGATCGACAGAGTTCCATATTCCCCTTCTAGTTTTCAAAGTTGAAAGTTAAGAATAAATTACAGTATAGCAAAACAATACGTGAAATATATTTACTTTTATATTCGACGACAAACCAATTACACTTGCACGAGTAAAAAAAAAAGACGAATTACACTTAAACGACACAGCATTTGTGGAAATAAATATTTTTCTTCATTGTTTACTGATTCACTTATAATAAAGAAAAGTGTTATTTATCCGAACATATTTTACAATAAAAAATTACTTAGAAATGATTTAAGTAACTTCCAACCTTAGCCGGGAGCCAAACAGCAAGCATTCTTGAGAGATGTGGGCTGCACTTGAGGAGTTGAGGTGGTAGATGGTCGGTTGACCTGACCACTTTCCACGATGACCTTTCACCAAATTTACACCAAATTTAAGTAAAAATTAAAAGATTTAAAGAAATGACGTACCCATTTTACCTCCATTTTGATTGTTGAGAATTTGAAAATTGTACCGTTTCTTGTTCTTTAATATTCATTCATCTTCTCCATCGCCATTCTTCGAGGTCTCCATCGCCATTGCAAAAAATGCGGTCACTGCACTTGCTGTGTCCCCAAACACAAAATTATCTGCCCCCTGCCGCATCTATAAAAATTACCTCTACAAATGCAAGAAAAATAGCACAATTTCAGTCTTTAATCTTTTTCAATGCCATTGCAAAAGGTATTCAAATCTTTCTGAGTTGTTCTTCTAGCTCAGGAGCTCTAAATGATGATAATTTTCATCAAGAAAATCAAGAATTAAGTAAAGTAAGTTTCTTTCTTTGCAATGTTTATCCAATGTAATAATGTTCTTCTAATTGTTTCCTTTACTTTTTTGTGTGTATCTTTGTTTTCAGAATCAATAAACCAAAGGATTGTGGCAGACATGGAAGGTAATTAAGACTCATTCTTTATTCTTCCCTTTTTGTGATTTTTTTTTAAATCCCTTTCGATATTTGATTTCTTGATGCAAATTGATGGAAGCCCATATGATGGTTTTTTATTTTATAGGGTTTTTTTTATCAGGAAAATTCAGCAGAATTGAGTTCGAAATTGGCTGAATTGGGGCTTGCTGCCGTTCTTGCTTATGGCATAATTGGTGTGACAGTGACTGTGACCTATACTAGTTTCTTTGTTCTTGCGTTTCTCGGGTATGAGAAAAGCAATGGCAAGAATCCTGCAGCCAATCTTCAAGCTCTATTAGGGGTAAGAATTGCTTATTTTGTGAATTTTAAAGTTTTTTGAATGTTTGGAGTTGGGGTTTGGAATATGAATAATGAATCAATTTGAAATTAGGACAGAATTTTTTTTCTGAAAATTCAAAATTTGGACTTGACTCAATATGTTGCTTTGTTGAATTTATAGGAATGCTTGATTAAGGAATATCATATCGAACAAATTTGTACAGGGTTATTTAAGTCTTTTGTACCTTACCGTATTTCACTCTCTTGCTGTATATATATACACTTCACATCCTGTAATTTTTCCATTATTCAGCTGAATAAAACAGAGTGCATTTTTCCCGCGCATTTCTTCTCTCTCTCTACTCTTTGCTGCTAATTTCTCATATCACGAAGAATTGGCCTTGTATACAATTTGTTGTTTTGCTGACTTAACAAACGCAAGAAATGAGATTAATGAATGGAGTAAAATATTTATGTTTGCTCTTCCTTGTCCAAACGAGGTATCAAGACAACTCATTTGTAGATCAAATTCTAAAGAGTATATTATAATTCCTAGTTTCCTACTGATAAGCTGTGTGCATTAACTTTTGAAGTTAGCCACATTGGCTAACTTCAGCTCCAACGGCCTTTAACATTTTTCTCATTGTTGGTGAGTTGAATCATGCAGCCACTTTGCCTTAGCTACAATGGCTACTTAATGTTATAGCCTTGATTCAAGATGATTTACTCATTGATATCATACTCAAACACCGAATTGTATTTTATATATGACACTTTACGCACAAAAACATAGAAAAAATCATTATCTTATTTGTTTAAGACAATTGATGAATTAGGACCGATGACTGATGGGAGAAAAAGAGTAATCCAAGATTTACTAGTTTTAATATCTGAGTAATGCTTGTCATGCTAAATTTAATAATTACTCCTTTTAGTCAGAAATCTTAATTTCACAACAAAGGTGTGAGTAATGTGAACCTTCCTTAGTTTCAAGATGTAAAAGCTTCTAATTTCCACACAAGGATTCTTTGTTACATTGAAGATAAGGTTGTCCAAAATGTGATTTCAACACATTGTCTTGATAGAGTAATTTGTTACAAATGAAGTACATATTTAAGATGCAGTGGGTTGAACTGGCTTCAAGACTATTCCCATAGAAAGCATGAAATAACTTTCTACGGTTTTTTAAAGTCTACTCGATGGAAGGTGCGTATGTCATTTCCTGGTGATACAGTTGTAATTAATATCGAGATTTCTTAGGCTTATCAAACATTTACTTGTCTAGCAGGATTAACAAAAAAGAAACCAATTTACCTTGATTTATTGAGATTTCTTAGGCTTATTTAAGTTGTTTAAGCTTCACAAATTCTTTTGAGGTGATGTATGATCATATTTAGGGGTAGGATTAACAAAAAAGAACCCCAGTTACCTTATTTTATTCACACACAATTGAGTCAACGCTCCTGGTTTGTCTAGAGAAAATCGAGAAAGCTGATTTTTTTTAATGGTGATTAATGATTTACCAAATCCATTATAGACTGCCTCTTACTTGTGCCTTAACTTTTCCTAACCTAGATCTTAATTTTGATGTGGACTGGGAACAATATAACAAGACCATTTCGAGTGGCCGGGGCGGCAGCATTGGCATCTGCAATTGACAAAGGATTGAGGAGCATATTATTTCAACTTTCCGATTCTTGTCTATGCATTTTCACTTGTGGTGGCCATAGTTACCGGATCATGCTCGACAGTTGTCAGATTGCTTATTCTGTCTAGATGGGGGAAGTGAACTCGGATGTGTTTGGAACTTCTACATGGTCTGGCCAGAATTTGACAATTTGCCTTACCTGAAAGAAAGTGAACAGCCTTCTCTTATGTGAACAACTTGCCCGTATAATGTGCGCGCCAGAAAATAAAAACATTGTTCTTGCCATTCTTTCATTTTTGACTTTACAGTAATAAATTGCTCTGTTTTGGTAGTTGGTGATAGTGTAGACTTGGTCTACAGAATTTGATCTTACGTTGTTGTGATGCTAGAGGCTCGGATGTGCTTTGTTAGGTGCTTTTTTCACCTTAATCCAAATCAATTATTTTCTAGTTGGAGCGTGATTGTAAGATGGAACAACCTTTTTTTCTGTTAACATTATAACCCTGTAAAATGAGCTGCTGCTATCAATTGTAATTTAGTTTGGAAAGCCACAAGCGTTGCGACTGAAAATGTAGTGTTATGTTGCTATGAATTTTCAGCTGTTCTGCCTCTTCTATCATTTTTGCAAAGATTTCTAGTATATGAACTCTCCTTCAACAGTAAAATCGACGCACACTTTGTAGAAAACTGTAGTTTGTTCTACTAATACAACTTGACAAATGAAGATTTCAAAAGCTCAGGTTTGATTAAAAATTTAAATTTTTTTTACCAGATTCCATGTTAGGATCATAGGTTGATGATAAGAAAACGGCGAAATCACCAACATTAATTGACATTAATGATAATGTCAATTAGGTGAGTCTCATATTCATTATTCATTTAATTGACCTGACAACCTCACCACTTGCCACATTACTTGTGAATAATTTTCAGTTGGCAATTTTGAGATAAATATTGTTATTATGAGGTTACAAAATAAATTCAAGAATTTCATACATCCATGGAATTATTAATTTTTTTTTTTTGAGATTTTTGAATCAGATTACGAATTTCATCATTTTTATTTAAATTCACATAATATATGTTGAGATTAAGCATGAACCTCTATAAATACTTCACTATTTCATATCAGTTTGGCGAAGAAGAAAAGAGAGTGAAAAGAAAGATGATTTAGTTACTGATTAAGGTTGCACTGTCACTTGTCTTGATACTCTCCCTGATTCCTGGAAAAACAAGAGTTGTTATTATAAATTACATTGATGGCGACGAAATTCTTATAAGGTGTAAATCAGCAGACGATTTTCTTGGCACCCACGTGCTTAAATTCCACCGGATTTTCTCGTGGCATTTCCATCCAAGCTTCTTTGGAAATACAAAGTTTTACTGTTATTTACAGTCGGGATCCTGGAGATTATGGAGAAATAATTGTTGGAAAATTCTAACATATTTGTGGTCACACGTAATATATTAAAATGTGTGGTGCTATTATTTAAAGAAAATTAGTCAATTAAAATGATCTACTAAAGATGAATTTTGACTAATGAGTATTAGTTTTCATGGAATTAAAGTGTAGAGATCGGATGTTTGTTTTAAATTGATGAAGGGGCGAATTTGAAACAAATTAAAGATAATGACCATTCATTTTCTGTTTTTTTATACGGGATCATGGTCCCCAATTGTTAATGTGTTCTTAAGATTCTCTATATCCTCATTAATAGAGAGCAAAATTGAAGTAAAGATCACCAATCAATTGGAAGAACGTAACAACTGATGTAGCATATTATGCTATGCACCGATAACATTTCATATTAATTTATAGTTGGTCTCAAAAGTCAAATTAAATTTGTTATCAATTATGGATTATTGTTTTATATAAATCCCATAAATCCATTCGGTATGTGTGTGTCTCCTTCTACTCTCTCTCTTATACATGACAAAATCTATCGCACTCAAAATATCATGTGATCAAATTTCACGTTCTTATGTAAAAAGAAACCATTGATGAGTAGTATTTTTTTTCTTCTTGACATTTCTACAATCTAATATTTTAAAAGTGTTTTATGTGTTTTCCACCATTTCTTGAATATAACTTGAGTTTAAAGTCATTGTCTCAAGTTACTAAAGTATTAATCTCTTAAATGCCTTTTTAAAAAATAAAATATAAGATTTTAGATTTAATTATAATAACTCGATAAAAAAAATATAAAAATAAAATGAAACTTTGGTTTGGTTCTGTTCGGTTAGTTGGTTTGAGTTATTGTCCAAATTGAAAAAAAAAAATTCTTAACTTTGGGCCCACTTAGATTACATATAACTTTGTTTTTTATTTATACACTTCTTTATTTGAGATACAACTTATAGTAACTAAAAACGGTTTTAGAATTTCAAATTTCAAAAAATGAAAATCATTATCTCAACTAGCATTTTCACAACATATAAGCCGTAATTAACGAATTAGAACACATCATGTAATTAAAAAGATTCAATAATGTAATTAATACATAACCACAGGTCCATAATCATTATCTCAACCTGCATTTTCAGAAAGCGAACATATTACAAGTAAAAATAATGTATAGAAAAATTAACTAAAAAACATGTCATACCAACCGAAGTAGAAGACAATGTTTATAAATGACATAAAATAATATCAATGTTTCTTTGAAAGTGCATTCAGAAAACAAAGTCTTTATATAGTATTCAACAAGAGTTACAAGACTACTCAAAGAAGACATTTTGGACACTAACATCATTAAACTTTTGACTTTGACTTTGACTTTTCTTTTTCAAAAAATTAAAATAAAAATGGAAACATGTGTAAATAGATTGGGTCGATTAACCAGTAGTTTGAGGCTTTAAATCATAGCCGAACTAACCCGCCATGGTTTTGCTTAAAATAAAACCAAACCAATTAATTATGTCAAATCGACTCGAGTCGGTTCGGTTTGATCGGTTCAATCAATTTTTTATTTTTTATTTTTTTTGCTCAAGCCTAGTCTTCATCACCAGAAGGCCCCTTAAAAACTCATAGAATTCTACAAGCACGTTGAAACATTACGTAGAAATAGAAAAATATTGATTTTTCGATGGAAGTTTAGGTATACAATTAAGTGGCACTAATTTAATTGCCTAAAATGTCATTAATTGTTATGTCCTATTTCTATATCGAAGATGACATATCAATTGTCATCATAATGGCACTTAATTTTTGAATTTTGCTATGTGTACACCCCTCATTACAAGAGGGTCCAAGATTTTTTTATTGGACGCGGATCTCCTTATACCATAGTGTACAAGTAGCAAAACTCTTAATTTTTACCTAGATTGCTTGTGAGAGACAGTTGTAATAGATAGCATTATTGTGGATTCTATTAATCTTGCGACTATCTAAATCATTAAAAGAAATTTATAATCAATATGGTCGATGTCCTGAATACAATCTTCTCCTTTCAAAATAAAGATAATTTTTTATTTCCATTTTCCAACAAACATAATATTAAATAAGAAAGTTAAAGAAGAAAAACGATCATCATGAGTTAATCTTGCAAAGTAACTTGCCTTCTTAGTCACGTTATATGATTATTACGCAATCTTTTTTCAGAGCTAGGTGTAACCCCGTAAATAGGGCCTCTAATTTTTAATAGCTAAAACAAGTAATTCAATTTTCTTTCTTTATTCAAAAAAAAAAAAAAGGGTTGGGGTGAGGGCCTCGTTCCCTCTAGAGCATTGTGGATGAGGTAAATCGCGGGATGTGTCTTAACAGGCCAGAGTATAAGAGCTGCTATATTGGTGCCCACAAATAGTCTAATTCCATACCTTGTAAGAGGTAGGAATCGAACCCTCACACTGTAACTGTCAACTCAGATGAGACTACCTAACTCATGTCCTTTGCACCATTGAGCTATGCTCCGAGGGGCAATTTTCTCTCTATACATTCAGTCTCTTATTGTCCAATAAGTCTGAAACAAAAGTTCGCTAACATTTAACTGGTTATCCCTGCCATTGATTATTCAATACATCAAAAACTTATTCTCTTGAAAGGACAACAATATCAAACTAGAATAAGTGACATTAATTGATATGTCAAATCCCCATGTTTAAGCTTACATCATCACAAGAATTATGATTTGGATTCAAAGTGATCCTTCTATTAATCTTGTTAAAAACTATCGATATCATCAAAAGAAATGTATAATCACTATGGTTGATGTCTTGAATGTAAGGTAATTCTATTAACCGAAATCTTCCTCAAAGCAAGAGGATGAAACAATTCACAATCAGGAACCTTCTATATAAGCAGCAGAAAGAACTATTAAGACTAACCAAAAAAGAAAAGATGGTTTCCTTGGTTAAACTTGTACTATCATGTTTTTCCTTCCTTTTCATCCTGTTAGAAGCAAAAACAATAGTTACAATTACAAATGATATCCGCGGAAAAAGTATGATAATTCTGTTGGAATTTGGTTTTAATTATAAAACTTGAAAAGTGACTTTATGTCAACTTTGACCAAATATTTGATTTTGATCCCAAATATTTGATTTTGATCCCATGGTCAAATTATAAAAATAAAAAGACCAATTCGTTCTATTTGTCGAGTAGATTATCGTAGTATATTTAGAATCTCAAAATCAATTCCGGATGAATGAGAAATTGCGATCCAAAATTAAAAGAAAAACGAGAAGGAAAAGAGGTAATATTGTCGCTCAACTTGCAGGCTGCGCCTAGCTAGCAGAGAAACTGTCGCTCGAGCGGTAGGCAGGAGAAAAGTTTCCGTTGAAAATGTGCCACTGGCGTTCAAGTGATAGGTCAGCTTTCCTTCGTAAAAGTTGCTGAGTTTTGAGAGATATCTTTTCTTTCTAGTTGAAGTGATAGTACATGAAAAGATACTCCGTTTTAGTCCGAAGAATAATGTTGTTGAGTCTCACTGATATTAAGCACCAATCTACATGTCTATAAAACGTCATTAAATGATTTGACATCTTAAATGAAGAGATGTTCTATCAATTATTTAACAGTTACATCAGTGCTAAGCACATGAATAGCGCTGAATGGGCTCATGATATTCAAAATCTTGTTATAAGATTATCTAAATCATCGATATAAACTCACAATCGTTCTCCTAGATGT